CATCATCATCATCATCATCATCATTGGAGTGACAGTCTGGCCAAAGATGTACACTAAATAGTAGAAACTAAGGTATACAGTGCTCCTCAACTTTCTTTGCTAATATAGAGACAGACTATATTAGTCTGTCTCTATATTAGACAGGCTAAGGATTTGCTGTATCCAACCATGTTTTAAAGCAACTTAATGGGATGTGAGTGGAGTGGCTGAAAAACCTAATTTTGGAAGGCCAGGACTTCTGAATGAAGTAGGGGTAGGAAGTCCATTTTGGAAACATACTCAGTGTGTATACGTACTAGAACCAAGAAACAATTTGTGAGAGGGCAGAATGCAGTTTTAGGAGTACTTGTTCTTTGGGATAATCATTTTATCAGAATATCTTTGTTAGTTGATGAGAAATAATTTTGCTCCTGTTCATTTTTAAAAGAGTTTTCTAACATGTGCATATGTTTCTACTGAAAAGAACCTGAGAGTTTAAAAAACTGAATATGTGAAAAAAAATGAATTTGTTTGATTTCTTCACTCAAGTTCAAGGCTTTGAATGCTAATCTCTTAAAAACATATTTGATTCTCCATGTTTTCAGTCATATTATTTCTGGATTATGATTCTCACTTATTTTTCTGAAGGTATTCATTGTTCATATAGATATATAATTGGTGGGTAGGTACAGCATTCTTGCTTCATGCTTGGAATAGCTCTACCTATTGAATTGGCACAGATTGGTAAAATTTGCTTTTAAAGTATATACAAGAATTCAACTCATATGTTTAAAGCATACAAATGCAAAAATTTTTAAAAATCACCATTTTTACCATTCATTTCCTGATTTCCTCTGCTGTCTTGCTACTATCCAGTTGAAGAAAGATTGGACTATGTGGAAGAATATCAGAATTTAGTTACAAATTCTGAAACCAAGGGGATTGAGATCTTTGTCATCCCCAAAGTAGGACTCTTTGCAGCTACTGCTAATCGTTATACTCCTCCTGGCTCAACCATCTACAAATGGACTGATGAGAAATTTGTGGCTTACCAAAATATTCCCACCTATCAAGCTGAATCCTGGAATTTTTTCACTATTGGAAAAAAGGTAAATTGTAATTTTCCCCGAGTGCTGTTTGATACGCTGTTAAATTAACAAAGCTGAACCATAACGTGACTAGAAAGAGCCATGGCTGTATTTAAAAGTAATTCAAGCATTTGGGAGCCATTACTGAACAGGCCTTCCTTATTGTTCTGGACAGACACAATGGAAGCTGCAGGACATGATCCCTAGCCCTAGAGGACACCAAAGAAAGAATTCAGAGCACAGCCTTTTTAGAAGAACTAAATAGTCTGGGGATTCATGTCAGAAAGCAGTAGTAAGTGTTTCTACTTAGAAGACTATCTTATTATTTCCACTGGGGTTTCTCCTAAGTAAATATACATCGAACTGCAGCTTCTTGAGGTGACCAAGTGAGAGCTCTTTGAATTTGGCTCCCATTTTGCATTTTTGCTCTGCTATGTCTCATTTTATTGCAATTTATATATTATTTTAATCACAATATTTATGAGTGTGTTATAAGCAGTTCTGAAAGGCATTTGCTGAAGAGAAGCCTATAAATACCTCAGATAAATAAAGGACAAGGGATGCTCAGAAAACATGACCCCGTTTTATCATCACCTTGGAAGGCTCTGTTTTTCTTACACTCCCAACTATTTTTTGCACATTGTGCCTTGAGATCTGGAGGTTTTAGGAGGCACACTATAGAAAAGCATTATGCACACTCTCTCGGATCCCAGTCAACATCTAGAAAAATAACCCTGTTCCTCTCTGTAACAGCAAAAATAATGATGAGTCTTGGGGCATGTTGGAGAGTATGGGCCTGTCCACACTGGGGGCCTTGGAACAATCCAGTTTGTTCTCAAAAGTTTTTTATCTTAGGTGTGATCTGTTTTAACTCTCACTTGAGTGCCCCTTCCGTCCACATTGGTGATTGTGAGACCAATTTACTAATGAATAGGTATACCTGATTTCACCTTCACTCCAATGTTTTCTCCTTGTATTGCAGCTGTCCCTAACTGCTGTTGTTTCCTTAGTCATGAGTAAACTGAGTAAAATTACTTATGAATAAACTGGGTAAATCTTGCTCTGTGTGGACCTGTGGCATGAGAGAAGAGGAGCCGTAGCACCATCTCCAGTATGGATAGAAGGATTGCTCAAGTGAGAGTTGAAATAAGACAAGAATTTTTAAAGCATGGACCAGATTATACCAAATTTTCAAGTGTGGACAAGTTCAAAGATATATTTTTGATAGCACTGAATCATGCCAAAAAGAATACATACCCTAGTCCTGTGCCAGAAAGGTGTGCAACAGCTCTTAAAAGGGAAGAGTGGATTGTTCTAAGTAGAAACACATGTGGATATGGTCTTTTTTTCTGATCCAAATATTGCCAACAGTGATTCATATAACGATCTATATGCCAGTGTAGACAAGCTGTATGAAATGTATTGTACTATGAATTTTCATAGGTAGGACTCTTATCAGATATAGTCAAAGTCTGTGGCTGACTTCTCAAAGCTGGTGTCATCCTGTCATTCTCAGAACAGCAATAAGGGATGGTGAATGGGGATGATGGGAATTGTGGCAGAACATGTCTAGAAGACAACAGGTTGGGGAAGTCTAGTCTGTGTATGCTAACTGTTAAAAGCAATTAGAGAAGTGTAGCAATTAGAATAGTAGACTTAGTCCTTTACATGGTTAAACAGACAGCTGCAACTGCAGCTTTTCAGAAGCAAGGAACTGTTGCCAGCAAAACCCAACAAAGCCTTTCTAACCTTGCACATTGTGGCCTTATTGTATTTATTTTCTCACATTTCCTCCCTATGTTCTAATGTCTGACCTCACAGACATGTGAAGTAGACATAGTGCAACCCAGAGCCTGGAAATTTTAATTTATGGTCTACAGTTTCCAGAATCCCCAGCCAGCAGATTCCTGGAGATGTGGTCAAAAAGTAACATTTCGAAGCTCCGGTTTATCACCACATGTGAATTGGCTCAACGTATACTTGGAGAGGCACTGCTTCAGTTGAGAAATGAACTGTTTGGCCAATGTATATTTAGATTAGCCTTTGTTATAGCCTAAGCATTATTTAAAGGAATCATAGTATTTGCATTTTTTAAAAGTCTATTTTAAAATTTAAAAATCCAGCTTAGATGTAAACATCTGATGTTTATTTTTTTCTTATTTTCCCCAAAAAACAATCCCCCCTGCCCCCAAAGAGAGAAAGAGAAATGTGAGGAAGTAAGGCAGGAATAGCTGGAAGGCTAAGGAACTTAACAGTAAAGTATTTCTTTTCACAATCTCTTGAATTTGGAAGAATTCCATGTGGAAGGCATTTTGACAGGATAAATAACTCTTATGAAATGAAAAGGAGCTTTTGGTTAAGCTGGTGAGTTTCAGAATTCAGTGCCACCAGGGGTGATCCCATCTGGGATGTTTTAGCTCATAGATTAAATGCACATGATCTGAGGAAGAGGCAGATGGACATGATCCCCAGGGATGCCTTGTGCTATCTTAAAAGAACGTTAGACAGAATATGAACACTTCCGTTTACCGTAACAGTGGATTGTGCAAAAGAAGTTTAATTCTGTAAAAAAAAATTATCCCTAATTTATTAGTTTTTTTTAGGTTTACTTGTTTTAACATTGTGAGCTGCCTTGGGTCCACTCACTGGGAGAAAGGTGACCTACCAACGATTGATTGATCGATAGATACGTACGTACGTATGTACGTACATCATACGTACATACATACATACATACATACATACATACATACATACATACATACATACATACATACATACATACATACCATGTACTATGTACCATAAGCACACCAGTGTTTGATTAGCAGCTTAAGTCATAAAGGGAGAAACTTGGCTCCAGACCTAGGCTATATACTATACATATACTATACATATACTACACTTGAAACACTGGTAAAATTTCACTATAGTAAAAAGGTAAAGGTAAAGGTTCCCCTTGACAATTTTTGTCCAGTCGTGTTCGACTCTAGGGGGCGGTGCTCATCCCCGTTTCCAAGCCATAGAGACAGCATTTGTCCGAAGACAATCTTCCGTGGTCACATGGCCAGTGCGACTTAGACACGGAACGCTGTTACCTTCCCACCGAGGTGGTCCCTATTTATCTACTTGCATTTGCATGCTTTCGCACTGCTAGTTTGGCGGGAGCTGGGACAAGCGACAGGCGCTCACTCTGTTGCGTGGATTCGATCTTACAACTGCTTGTTCTGACCCTGCAGCACACAAAGGCTTCTGCGGTTTAGCCCACAGCACCACCACGTCCCCTATATTACTATATTACTATATTACTATGGTGTAAATGTTATCCTTTGATTTGAAAGGTCATGTTTGCAACCTATATTCCCAGTCAGGGAATCCTGATGGGGTAGAAGAATTTTTAAAAATGTGATCTATGACACTGTTGTACCATAGACAAGAAAAGGAATGGATGTCACTAACCCCAGGCATCACTTTTAGTTTGTTGCAAAGAAGGTACGTCTGCCTTAGGGGAATGTGTGCTCTTGACTGGTCAGCAAACTGAGTGATTGCAGCTTCCTGTTTTTCAGATCTTCCTCGCAGTGGCTAATTTTGAAGGGGATGAAATAGGGCAGGAGTTTTCTGTAATTTACAAGTGGAACTACAGAAAAGAAAAATTCATCGTATACCAAAGGATCACCACACATGGCGCAAGGGATTGGGAGTCATTTGTCATTGATGGAGAGGTCTTTCTGGCAGTGGCTAATCACAGAAAAGGTTTCTAGAAGCTAATGTATTATCATACTAATAAGCATGTGGAAACCCCCTCTTTTCGGCACTTGACTGTCGTAATAACCATGACAGTTCTAACACAGATTTCATGCATCTAGTAGCTCCATGACAAGTGTTAACGCCTGTAACTGTAACAACTGTAACTTCCAGAACTGTGATTGAGAAAAGGCTGCATTTGATAGATGAAGGCCTGTTATTTATTGGCTGGATTTGCACCCTGCTGTTATCTATACCGTGAGGGCAAATAGACCAGGGATGGGTTACCTTTGTCTCTCCAGAAATTTTGGTTTACCCACCTACCATAGGCAATGATAAAAGGCCATGGAAGTTGTAGGCTTGAAACATATAAAGAACCAAAATTCCCCATCTCTAGGAAAGTCAGACAGGCATGTTACAACTTTTCCTTTCTTCTCTCCCCCCCCCACACCCCATTTTCTCCCTCTTTCTCTCTTGTCTCTGAACATGCAAACCTACCTCTTAGTGATGGGCCAATGTTACAGGAAGTCAGATTTCGGCTGAATGTCAGGAAAAACTTCCTAACTGTTAGAGCAGTATGGCAATGGAACCAATTACCTTGAAAGGTGGTGAGTGCTCCAAACATCGGAGGAATTCAAGAGAAATTTAGACAACCACCTGGCCGATCTCCTTTGATTTGTATTTCTGCACTGAGCAGTGGGTTGGACTCGATGGCCTTGTAGGCCTCTTCCAACTTCATTATTCTATGACTCTATGATTCCATGAACTTATGTCTCAGGGGATGGTGACTGCTTTATACTGTTCAATGATGCCTTAAATGTTGTCTCTCCAGAACTATGATATGTGATAACCTCACATTTCTGTCCTCCCCCCACCCCGAGTTCCAAGACTGCTGATAAATTACTATGGGATATAGTGTTAAAATGGGGGGATTTTTTGTTTTGTTTTTGCTATATGTCAGCTTTATGTCAATACTGATTGTTGGATTTTAGAAAAGGGATATTGACCACAGCTGAAGCATTGCTGACAGATGCCATCAAAACTTTCTTTAAAAACCTCTAATGAAGATGTTGTAAGCCTGCTTTTAAAAGGACATTTAATACCTTATATGCCATCTCCACATTTGGGTGTGGGTGTGTTATAGCAGTGGTCCCAAACCTTTTCCGAAATATGGACCAGTTGGGGGGGGGTCTGTGCGCAGTGGGCACAGGGCCCCCTTGCATTCATGAGTGGGTGTGGCATGTTCATGGGTGGGTGTGGCATGTTTGTGGACAGGCGTGGTGCACTTGCATGTATGCGTGGGTGAGTGGGGCACACTTGCGGATGGGCATGGTGCACCCGTGGGCGAGTGGGGCATGCATGCATGCAAGCGCGCCATGTCCACCCACGAACACGCCACAACTATCCACGAACACGCCTGTGCATGCACGCGAGCCGCCATGCCCACCATGTGTGTGTGTGTGGGAGATCTGTCCTTGCAAAGCCCACAGACTGGCACTGGGCTGTGGGCCAGGGGTTGGGGATCCCTGTGTTATAGCACGTGGGCAGGCAGAATGCCTTTAGGAATCCACTTTCCTGCTAAAGCCTTTCATTGTTCATTTTCTTGCCCTCTATCTCATTCAGTCCAATCTGCAATTCCAATCAGAAGCTGTTGCTTCTCTTCTGGCTCTCCTTTCTGCTAATACTCTACAAAAGGGCAAGTGAACAAAAAGCCATAGTGATAAGAAAATCTAAGGAGACTGCAGGGCAGCAAGGGTCCCTTACTAGGATGTGAGCCTTGGCAGGTGCCCAGAAAAACCTACCCTTGACAGTAAGTTTTTCAAGACTGAAGGATGCTTACAGACACTAGGCCTGGACTGAGACGAATCAGTAGACTGGTCAGCATATACATCTTTGTTGGAAACCTGACTTGTAGTTTTAGTTATCTACGTTTAAATTAAGAAGAACAATGGGCCCTAGTGGGGATGTGAGCTTCCTCTGAATCATACCAAAGGCCTAACTAGTTCATTGTCTTATTTCCTAAAATGGCTGATAAGATACTTGTTAGATGCTCACAAGCAGAGTGTGAAGGCATTTACCATTGTTGTTCCCAGGTTATTAATATGTAGTGGCATTGTGCCTCTGATCCTGGAGGGTAGTATATAGCCACTGTGACTAGTACATATATCAGTATATTCCCGGAATTTGTTCAGTATGCTTCAAGACTGCTTTGAACTGGAGTGGAATCTTCCGATGGGTTTTCAAGATCCATTATTACTTTTGGACAATGAGCTTTGAGGAAGGCAGTGTCCATGAAATGGTGGCCACATACTGCCACCCTGTGGATTTGTGAATTTGGTATTTCATCCTATATTTCATTTTTATTCCATATGTCCGAAAAAGTGGACAGTGATCCATGAAAGCTTACATTAAAATATAATAGTCTTCAAGGTGCCACTTGTTTTTCTCTCCCCCCCTTTTTTGTTTTGTTTTGTTTTTCCTTTGGATTTTACTTGATTTACTTACACGGACTAACATGGTTACCTCTTCCAAAACTATAACCAATGGAATTTGTTAGCATATTTCCTCTAGAAAGAACTGCTATATGTGCTTACTTTCACTTGTAAAATAAAAGTTATACTAATTACTCCAAGACAACTGAAGGACATTTAATTGGGAAAGGCTGGTTTGAACTATGGTTACCAATCAAATCAGGATCATAAATCACGATTTGAACAAGTCATGATTTAAACCAAAGAGAGTCCCCTCTGAGTTAAACTCTATTTAGTCTTAGAAAGCTTCTTGTCTTCTCTTTATAATGACAGTTATATGCCATCAAGTCAATTCTCACTGATAGCTACCCATTCCAGAATTTTCTATGTAGTAAATTCTTAAAAGTAGTTTGCCATTCCCTTCTTTGGGAGGATTATGTAGCTTGGGCAAGGATACCAGCCAGAAAAGGAAAGGATAGGGGAGAGGGGATGACCTCTAACATAGTGCCAGTTTATTCAGGTAATGCTCAACTACAGTCTAGCGTAACATGCTGTGCATTGAGGAAATCTTTTTAGATGAATCAAATCGTTGGCATCTTTTCAGCCAAATACATGATAGTGGAATTGCCCCATTCTTCCAAAAAGCTCTGACTTATCTGTCCTCATTGGAAAAAAGAACCACCCACTCAGTCTAGAATAGATGAAGTCAATTTCATCCTTTTGCCTAAATATCTTCCATGTTATCGTGCTATGCCATCTTTTAACGCTATTTCCATATATGTTGTTCTCTTCTTATTCTTCCCTAGGGGATAACCACAATATAGACAGTGTCATATACAAGTGGAACTCAAGAACAGGGCTTTTTGAAGCCAACCAGACAATTCCTACCTCAGGAGCCTATGACTGGGAATTTTTCAGCGTTGGGCCCTATTCCTTCCTGGTGGTGGCCAACACATTTAATGGAACATCCACTAAGATCTACTCTCACATCTACATTTGGCTCAATGGAGCTTTTCAGCTCTTCCAATCAATCTTGGTAAGACACAGCAAGAAGAAAACCAATTAGGAACATAGGAATACAAGAAGATGCCATATATGGAGTCCTGTAGTCAATTACTCTTAACTGGCAGGGTTTCAGGCAGGATTCCTTCCTATCCTTGCAGTATGTCCCATCACCAAAAGAGACTAAACTCATGGGAATAAGGTACAGAGCCTTTTCTATAGCAGTACTGAAACTGTGGAAATTCCTCCTTAAGAAGGTTGGATTGGCCCCATCTTATTTTAGGTTTAGAATTATTTACTCATTTTATTTTTCTTTTCTTTTTTAAAAATCATCCTCTTTAAAAACTCTATTTAGTTTTTGATAGACTTTAAGCAGAGATTAATTTTCCTCTCTGGTGTGCTTCAAATATTGTTGTTTTCTTTCTTCAGCATGTGTTTTATTTAGAATTGTTTTAAAGTTGTTCAGTTTGATTTTGCCTTGCGGATCCTGGTTGGTCACAAAGATGGTTCACATAAATAAATAATTCCACATAAATGGATTTGCCTTCTATAACTGAAGGCTGGCATTAGAGGGCATTACACACAGGCAAGGGAATCTACATGTGCAGAACAGTATGTTCCCAGAAATGCCTACTTGTATTTAAAAAATTCAACAGCTAGTGTCTGCCATTGTTTTCCACAACCACCATCCATAATAGGTGCAGAATGCGGCAGCCAGACTACTTAATGGAGTGAAAAAATACCAACATATTTCGCCCACTCTGGTCGCATTGCATTGGCTGCCCATCCGGTTCTGTATTGACTTCAAAGTGTTGATGCTTACATACAAAGCACTAAACAGTTTAGGGCCTCGATACTTGGCGGAACGCCTACTCCCACCAAGATCTACCCGTGTCACTCGTGCGAGCCAGG